AGTCCCAGTCTGGCTGTAGGCAGAAGCAAATAAGTACCTCTATGCTGAGAACAGAAGTATTTGCTTGCCCTATGGCAGTTTGGATCATGGAATCATGGAAGCTTGGAAAAGACCGTCTAGCATCATTGAGTCCAACCACTAACCCAGCGCTGCCAGGTCAGTCACTAAACTATGTCCCTCAGAACCACTTCTACAAGTCTTTTGAATCTCTAGGATTGCTAACTCCACCAGTGCCCTGAGCAGCCTGTTCCAGTGCTTGACCAACCTTTCTGTGAAGAAAATTATTCTAATAGCCAATATAAACCTCCCCTGACACAGGTTGAGGCCATTTAATCACATCCTGTTCCTTTTTCCATGGGAAAACAGACCAACCCTCACCTGTCTGTCCCCTCCTGTCAGGGAGTTGTGCAGAGACAGAAGGTCCCCCCTGGGCCTCTTTTCTGCAGGCTGAGCTTCCCCAGCTCCCTCCTTGTGCTCCAGGCCCTTCCCCAGCTCTGTTCCCTTCTCCCTTCTCTGGACATGCTCCAGCCCCTCAATGTCTTTCTTGTGAAGGGCCCTGGAATTTCTGTACATGGCACTTGAGGTGTGTGTCCTCACCAGTGCCCAGCACAGGGACAGTCACTGCCCTGGTCCTGCTGCCACACTACTGCTGATGCAAGCCAGGTGCCATTGGCCTTCTTGCCCACCTGGGCACACACTCATCCTTTATGTAGAAACAGAAAAGAAGAATTGTTAGTGATTTCTAGAAAAGGAAAAAAAGAAAAAAAAAAAAAAGCACTTATTTCCCACCAGTCTACCTGGCTGTTTTTATACTTTCCCTAGGCTGGATTCATCACATTTATTTGAGGTGGTAAATTCTGAATGAGTTGGGGCAGCCTTGTTATGGTGTGAACTCAGTAGAAACCCCAGTGAGGGAAACTGTTTATTCTAGCTCAGTGCACTCCCAGCTGCCCTGGTTATAGTTCCTTTCTGGCCAGGACAGCTTTTCGAGGCTGTGGAAGAGGGGAGGTTGCAGCAGCTCTCTGTCTCCACAGTCTGCTCTCCTGGTGGTCTGGCCACCTGGAGAGCTCTGCGTCGGGGTGTTTGAACGAAGCCTGTACCTTTGCCTGCCCCAATACCTTTCTCAGGAATTTATATGCCAGAAAATATAGCAAAACGTGCTTTATCTATTTCTGAAACTGCCCATTTTGAAGTTATTATAATGTCAGTCCCTGCACCATGAGCAGTAGTTGGACCTCAGCATGTGCCAAGTATGAGCATGTGTTTACACATAGTACCATGATACTTCATGTAGGCACTTAGTGGCTTGGACATTTACTCTTTTGAAGAGCCTGGAAACATCATTACAGGAACTTAAATAAATTAGAAATAGAAGTTAAAAGTAAACAATAAAAGCACTGCAGCAGTCTTTTCTTTCTCCATGCTACTATTTTAATCCTCCTGTGAAAATCTGGGTAAGTTGATCCCCCCCTTGTAAAAATGTTTCCTTAAAACAGACAAACCTTTGAAATAGGATCTTCTAAGAAGGCTTTGTTATTGTAGGACATGTCTAATGGGTTGATGCTTCAATTACCAGGACTGTCTTCCATAATACTTTACTGCTTTGATGCCCTGCTAATGTTGTATTTTGATACATTTCCTTTTCAGTATTTACCTGTGGAGAAACAGCCCTTTTTTTATTTTCAACAGAATTTTTATGTGTTTCATAGGAAGACTTATTAATATGTCCAGTGAATGGAAGGTTCTTTAAAAGACTCTCATGAACCATAAAAGAAAAGCACATGTGAAATGAAATTCATAACTTATATTAAAGCATCAAGTTCAGCTTCACTTCCCAGAAGCAAGGGCATCAAATTTGGGGGTCTTTTTTTTAAAGTGTTTTCTTTTACTTCTTAAACGACTTTGCATTCTGCAACTTGGGAAAATCTGAGCCATCTGACTCATAGTTTAGTGTTTATTCTGCTGTGGAGAGGTACAATGCAAAAGTGAAGGAAAAAATTGAAAGAATTAAAGTAATAAGCTACTTGTGCTTTTCTAATTATTACCTCTGGTAGCAGAAAGGTGTAGAAAAAGGTTGTGTTTGGTGTCTTAAAGAATGTTACACCAAAAGCATGTTAGAATCAAGAAACATATCAAATGCTATACAAATACAATTAATGAATATAGAATCTTTACTTTTATTTTTGTGTCTGAAAATCCTGGATCCATTGCAAACAAAAAGGAAGCGGCTGTGGGTGGGTGTGGTGGTTTTTACTTTTTTGCTGAAACCACCATGCCAGTATCTAGTTTTCTGAGTGTGGGGAAGAAGCTGGCAGAAGTTACATGGGAAAATAGTGAAGGCAAACTGAGATAGAAATAGCTTTGGAAGCTAGAAAGCATGGAATTGAGGGAGGAAGAAAGTAGGTGCATCTGGAACTTGATTTTCTATTAGATCAAGAAATGCTGTTGATTTTAACCTTTCTTCATCAACTCTGGTCAATCACAGAATCACTGGAGGGTTTGGGTTGGAAAGGACCTTAGACATCATCTTATTCCAAACCCCTGCCATGGGCAGGGACAACTTCCACTATCCCAGGTTGCTCCAAGCCCCATCCAACCTGGCCTTGGACACTTCCAGGGATGGGGCAGCCACAGCTTCTCTGGGCACCCTGTGCCAGGGCCTCACCACCCTCAGAGGGAAGAATTTCCTCTTGGTACCTGTTCTAAATCTTCTTTCGGCTTGAAGTCATTGCCCCTTTTCCTGAGTGATCCATCAAAATGGACCAAAAAAATTGTTTGTCTCCTTTTGGATCAATGTGCTGCATCATGATTGCAAATCCTCTGCCCCTCCTGCCATTTGGGGGACTGTGAATTACTTGTGACAGAGATTTCTGAGTGCAGATGAGGAGGGCAGCTCAACATAGAGGCAGCATCCTGCCTCAAAAAGAGGATTTTGGTTCTTGTACTTTGTTATCTTTTAGAAAAGAAACCTCAAGTCCTTTAATTTGTACATTTAGGGTGCTGAGTAAAACTGTGAACATGAGAAATGTATCCCTAAGCTGATCATGTTGGACACCAGGTGTTTTTGCTACTGTCTTGAATAGTTGATTTATTTTGTATTTGAAGCCTTAAAAAGAAAGAATAATTACCTTTTAAAAATAGAAGACCAGCAGTTAAGAATGAACAGCATATTATGTTTGTGATAACTCTTCTGTTTGGTTTTATATTCTCTGTGCGACTAAAAACATCTATTAATTGTCATTTTCATTTACTTACAAACCTTACTGTTAAAAAAACAAGAAAAACTTGACCTTTATCCTGTGTGAGCCCTTTTTTTAAATTTCTTATGATTTAAATAGTGTTAATATTCCAATGTATTATGATAATAGATGTTTCTATTTCTATGTATTTCCTATATCATGTCCATGTATTTACATTTTATAAGATATTTAATAGTCTCTGGATGGATTCCTGACCTGTCCTTATAGTTCTAAGAAGTACCTGAAATTCTAATCCATGTACCTGTGCAGCCCTGCATAATGGAAAAAAAAATTGAGTTGTGCTCATTTTATAAATATAATACAACTTTGTCTTTAAGATAGTCCCAACAAGAGAGACAAATGATAAGGGACAAATGCAGAGTGTAATTTCCTCATGCTATGACCACTGTAGTACGGTGGATTATGCTCAGATTTTGTCTGAGTAGCTCTTGTGCTCTTATATGTATCAGGCTGATATTAATTAATTAATTGGTTATTTATTTATTATTAGAATTTGAAATGCTGTTTGCAGAATGCTGGACATAATTTTACTATTAGATAAAGGAAAAGAACCCTATTATAGAGCTCTTTAGTTGTTTATTGATAAAATATTCTTTTACTGTATTGCAAGGTAGATTAATACTTTTGTAGGGAAATAATTGATATATTCAGTCTACTATAAAGATTTGAGTCTTGCTTGTAAATAAATTCTCACTCTTTTTAAGAATCTATAGTGTTATTGTTGGCCTGTGCTATTTAGTTTACTATGAATATATTTTACTGTACAATTTTTTTGTATTTTAAAAACTCAACTTTAGGAGAAGAGAAAATGTTTTATTCTCAGAAATGTTCTGAGGAAATACTAAACAGCATAGGGTTTGTCTTTCTCTAGAATGATGTAGGACTGGTGTTTCTTAGGGAAGGAAAAATAGCAGTAAAAGAAGTATAAGAAAAGTAGGAAGAGGAAAAAATACCTTGCAAAGCCCATTGTCACAGTTCCTCCAAAACACAATTTTATGTTGCTTGCTGGCCTCACCTTGGCTTTTGTTTGTGATATTATTTGAACACAATAATCTCTTTATGACCTCCTGACATTTCATGTTTCAGTGTAGTCTTTAGGAGCATCACAGACATAATTATGTATAAAATTGTTTACCCTTGATTTGTTTCTTCCACATCTTCCACCAGCATTTAGATTTGGGATAAAAAAGCTGTTGTCATTTTGCCTTTTCAAATGCCTATTTGTTATTTTGTGAACAAAGGGGGCTGCAAATGCAGAATTAGTAGTGCACATGCTGCAGCTTTGCCTGCTCTTTTCTTATGGAATTACAGAATTATATAATGTGTTGGGTTGGAAAGGACATTGAAGATCATCCAGAGAAGTGTGGGAAGAGAGATTATCAATGAAGACTGAGATGAAAAAGTGGATTATGTTAGTCTTCTCCTTATCCATTGTTACAAGTTTACCAGCGTTGTTTATTGATGAGGGGTGTACACAAATGTTCCTACAAACTGGATTTTCCTCTGTTTCCTCAATCTTTCAGTTTGTCTTCACATGTGCTTTAGTGTACATTCTTGCAGCTCTTTTTTTCCACTAATCACATGACTCAGCACCAGGCTGAGTGATCTATTTCTGTACATACAGGTGTATTAACAGTATTGTCATTATTCATATTTTCTTCTTTTTATCTTTCTGGAGACCAATACTTCCTTTCTTTTTAACTAATTTCCATAACCTTGCAATAAACCTCTTTGTTTCAGGTTTTCCCTGGGAGATGCTCGCAGGCCACTGCATGAAACCGCAATTCTGGTGGAAGACATTGTCCACACTCAGCTGATAAATTTGGTAAGATCATAACTGGAAAATGGCCTGCATTCCAAAACTCCTTAAATCCACATGGTATTTTTATGTTCTAATGACTAGTAACAGATTGTCCAGGGTTTAGGAACAAATAAAACACAGAAATTGAGGGCGATGCTCTGACTGAAGGTGATGCTCTGGCCTCAATGATCTGTAGAACCAGATGTGCAACCCCACCTTACCCTGGGAACAAAGCTGATGGGTTTTTTGTTAGAAACTTTAAGTTGTTAAAAAGAAAAAAGTTGCCTGTTCTTCTAAAGACTACCTTGCTGACTTTTTTTTTTTTTTTATATGTTCTATTATTTGTGTTAATGCATTATTTGCTTAGGATTCTTGTCTTAATATACCTTCTATGTGATGCTTTGATTTCTGTCAAAAATAATGCCAAATATGGAATATTTTAATATATTGAAAGCCAATGAAAGTTTTATATAAATGAAGTTGTTTTGAATCACATCTGTCAGAAGCAACTCTAAATTTGAACCTCTCTATATTTTATTAAAGTTCAACAGCTTCTCTTAAGAAATAAATCATGGCATTTTACACCATGGCATGAATTTGCCATCTGAAAAATTACTATACCTTTGTATAGAAAAATATCTGACATGCCACCTGTAGTTCATAAAAAGTGTATTTTTCTTATTAGAGCCATTAAAAGACATGTAGATGTGGCAGTGAGGGACAGGGTTTAGTGGTGGTCTTGGCAGTGCTGGTTTAATGGCTGGACTTGTTAATCTCTGAGGTCTTTTCCAACCTTAATGATTCTGTGATTTGAATGAAATTACCAGCACGTGAGGGAATGGAAATTATACAGAAGTAATGTATATAGATTATACTAATACATATTAGAATTAATATTTACATCTGATGAGTCCTTGGATCACCCAGAGCTTTGAGCTGCAACTTCCTCTTCTTTGTAATGAGCCCTTTTAGCAATGACAAGGCTTCCAAGTTTCAAAGTAGGTTCTAGTACTACATTATCTAGAGCTAAAAACTTCTGTAAAATGATGAAACTGAGAATGGGATACAGCACATACAATAAATATTTATGTGTGTATTAAATATATCTTTTATATCTATTTCTACATATTCATACATATAGGACATTTATATTTTTAATAGAAATATACTAAAATTAGACTTCCCCTTGCCCACTGTTTGCCTGCAGCAGGTGTTTTCCTTCAGCTTTGCACCTCATCCAGCAGCTGTTCGGTAGTTTCCTGCATCTCAGCAAATGCCTTGGCATCCCTTCCAGCTCTGGGCAGTTTCTCTCTGCTCATACCTCTGCAGCCCAACAGTGTATCCCTGTCTCCACAGTCTCCTGGCGTCTTTGTGGATTTTTTCCTTATTACACTGCTCTTGGGCTGTCCTGAACTTTCCCCGTGGCTCCTTGGAGGGGACAGCTTCTCTCCCCTTTCTGCAGGTTTCCCGCTGGTTAAACACTCTGCCCTGGGCATATATTTGTAGTTCTTATTCCAGCTTTAGCTCTGACAAAGTAACATTTTCTCTTTGTTAATGACCCCTGTAATTTATGCAAACCGATGGCTGCGGCTTCGCTCTTGCCTCAGCAGTAACGTGCTGGAGTCTGGGCTTTTCTGTCCCACTGAGGCTGAGCTGAGCTTTACCAAAGCCTGCAGCTGAGAAAGTGCAACCTGTGGCCATGTGGTCTTTGCACTTTAATCAAAGCCGGGAACTTACTTGGGGGCTGGACGTGACCCAGGGTTAACCCTGCGTGGGGTGCAGGAGCTTGTAGGATTTCCTGACAGTAGGAAGAATGGGAATGGAGCGGCAGATAAACAGCTTTTCTAACCTTTCCCCTCCCAGCCCAAGACAGCACTTTATTTCTGAGGAAGTGAAAGTATCTTTAATAGCTCATTGCTTTGACCTCTGACATTCACATGCCGGAACTCTTAAATCAGTAGCGTTTTACATGCCCCAGGCTTCTGATAGGGAATTTTGCACATTTGTCATCCTCAACTCCACATCCTTATTGAGCTGCTGTGTGCAGTTACATGAAATTTTCACTTTACATGTAGGTGTTTTTGCTGGTATTTACCCAGTACTAGAAGAATGCTATTTTTATAAATGAAACTGACTGCAGAAGTAAATTTATTGCTTACCACCTGGATTTTGTCATATTGCTCATGTTAATGGACTACACAGTTCTCACTATGTAATTTAATAATTTCTTGTTTAATTCATGTCCATTTTTCCATCCATAATACAGGTATAAAGCTAAACTGTAGAAATTACTTTTATAACTGCAATAAAGCTGGCACATGGCACACATCTTTCATAGTAAGCATTTGTAAGAAGAGCTTGTTCTTGTTGATTAAGTCCAGGTTTGAGCCTCTGCATTAAAAAATAAGTTTCCAGCATGATTACCTTTGATTGGTTGACTTTTGATATCTCACGGCTTTATAGTTCCAGCTTCTTATTTTCAGAGTTGATCTGAACTCTATTAAATCAAGGTCTGGTTTGGGCAGATTTATACAGTCACTGCTTCAAACCATTATGCACTTCATGAAGTCCGGCTGCTGTAGCAGATGAGTGCACTAACAAGGCAAATTCCTGGAAAGCAGATTTTTAAGAGTTTGCATCACATTTTATGATCAATTTTTGGGTGTATTTTGAATAATATGCACACTGCTTTACATGAAGGGAAATTCTACTAAAAGTATGTAGTGATGTATAGGGGGAAATGAGCATCTCCAGAGGAAGATTCATTTCATCCTAAAATTACTTTCTGAGTTAAATGGGTTTGTATCTCTCAAGGAATTTATATTCTCAGATGGCTAAGAAATTGAATCCCTTGGCAGCTGGCTTGGGTTTGAATATCTAGGAGATAGGCATGAAAGGTGAGAGATAAATTCCATCATATTTGTGTCATGAGTTTGAATTTTTTATGCTTTTATTGTAATTTTTATACCTTTTGTTTTTTGTATATCTAGTAACAGGAAATCAGAAAGCCCCTGCACTAGAAAGTACTGTACATTTTTTTGTCAAGCATGATGTATTTGATAAGAACAAGGAATTTAAGTTTTAATTTTAAATCAAGTTCAGCGTTGACTGATAGTATTTGGTAACAGATCTAAATGATCATTTATACATAAATGTTTAAGGAATTTATAGATGCCTTCATGTTACCCTGAAACTGTACCTTTTTATGTGGGCTAAGACTAGAGGTTCCAATCAAAGCTGTATTTTCTTTATGGTTAGACACAAGTAGTACAAGGAAAGTTGTGCCTGCAGAAACAGTTTAACAGAGAATGCAAAAAGGTGTTAATCCAGTGGGGACAAGTGCACTAAGAAGGTTTTGAAGCATCATTTTTTATAATAATCTATTCATATCTATTCAGACCCTCAGAAAGGGAACTTGAAGATGCTCCTTTAAGGCAAAGGCTTGTTATTCAGGACTTCGTGTTAAAAAAAAAAGAAAAAAAAGGCTGTAACTAAGAGCAATGGAATAGGAATTTTTGTTCATCATTAAATTACCATTGAGAGGTTTGCCATCAAAATAGCCTAAATCTTGCATATACAGATATAAAACAATTTGAAAATTGTTTAGCATAATATTTAAGAAAGAGGAAAAGTCCCTGTTCACCTTCACCAGCTCTTTCCAAAATTTTTATCATTCTGGGCTGGTTCATAAGAAAATACAGTACTATTAGACTAATATCAAAAGCTAAATATTATTAGTATCTTCTCCTGATGGGGCTATAGCTCCTTGCTGATGCTTCAGATGTCAGGTTCAAAGGCAAACAGATGATAAGATCATGATGCACTAATTAAATCAGAAGAGCTGGTAAGGAATTACTTTCCTTATGCTGGCAATGTATCAGCTGGGTGTTTGTTATCAGAAGGAAATACCAGCAGTTTATTCTCTAGGCTCACTGGGTATGGCAGGAGTAGTGCAGACACCTGTTTTCAGAGAGTTTGGTTATTCAGTGTGGCACTGGATTTGAATTTCAGTCCTTTACATTTTATTTCAAATATATCAAATAGCATTTGGGAAGAGATTAGTTTTGTTTTTACAAAATGGAAGATATTTCAGCAGTAGGATAGAGTTCAACCAAGGAATAGATAAATTACACATATGCACACCAAAAAATACAGGTAAGTAATGTTGTCTGTCCACAAAAGAGTGGCTGCTCAGAGGGAAGGCCACAGCACATCACAGCAACCTTAGATTGCATCCTTGAAATGTTTCATCTGCTGTAATTCTTTGTAATGTGTGTTGAGTCCTTATGGAGATGGTCATGAATGGTAGAATTCATGTTAATAGGATTGTGGTTTGCTCCCTGTCAGCCAATGTGTGTCTGCTGGAAGATGGACTCTGATCTCTCCAACTGATATCAAATCACTGAAGTCAGACCCACTCGGTTGCCTTTTTTTAGAATTCAGTAGTGTCAACTTAAAGGGACTTCAGTTGCCCAAAACCATATTGTACATGATACCTGTTGGAATTTCTTTCATCATATACTTCTGTCTTCCTATGGTATTTAATTTCATAAAACTTTTGCTGGTACCTAATGCTATTAATATTCCACTCTTGCTCGTGTAGGAGCACGATTTGGGTCCTGAGTTACATATATGCATAAAGGAACACTTTGAGCGTACACATGGATAATTTTGTTGTTGTTGTTTATACTATTTGAAATAAATTATATCTTGCACACATAACATTTAATTCTGAATCAGTCCTTTGGTGCCAACTGAAACACAAAGCACAGGTCAGCAGGTGAATAGTCTATACTGGTATATGTGGATTATATTAAATTGCAACACTAATTCATAGGTAGAAAACTTAGAGTGAGGTGCAGAGATTCAGCAGTGTGCCTGAGTCCTGAGCAGATCTGTGGTAAATCCATCCTGTGGAATAAATTGCTTTTTATAGTGATTTTAGTAAAGATTGGGCAGTCATTTGCCACTTTTTCCTGGAAAAAAGAATGGTGAAAATACAGAGACAAGCATAAGGATAACTT